ACACCACAGCGGCCGAGTAAATATATTATATTATAATCATAAAGTCTGCTTATAACGAATTTGTCAATGCCAGAAACCTCTTAAAAGTAGACAAAAATTCTCTTCAATTCCAGATATGAGAGGTTTCACTGTATAAGGTTGATAAATCGACGAGCGCATTTTGGTTATTCGTGTTTATGTTTTTATTTAATATTTTGTTTTGTTTTGTTTTTCTCTCTAAAATTCACTATTTCATTTTTGTCTTTCTTACTTACAGCCTGGAACGTGATCTGATCACACGTACCGACCGTTTTGGTGTTGAGGTGCGTGAACGTACCATGTGGGATATACGTGAGGGTGTCGTTGGTGCTGAGACATTCATACCGAAACATGTGGTTATCGCTACATGGAAAAATGTTTCGTTTGCTGGCGGTATTGACAATGCGCTTTATAGGGTATGTTAAAAGAAAGCAATTTATTATATATAAACACAGATACAGCGGAGCACGTAGTAGATGCAATCTCTAACGTACATACATATATACTTAAATTAATTCTTAGTAACCTAAATCCATATTCACATATGTACATACTTACAACAAGCAACCAATTTTTTGAAGTGAAACTTCTTAATCGAGTTCGGAGATGGTTGCGTTAAATATTTAACATCAAGTCATAAAATCGGTATCGTTCGTACGATTTTCAAAAATGAGGTCTCACATGAAAGGGCTTGACCTGCAGATGTGGAGTATGGTTTTAGTCTTTTAAAGGGTTGCCATATATACGAAAATCAAATTCAAATTATTTATTAAGTTAAACGAATTATCCCAATATGGGTATCAAANGTACTATACGGTACCGAGAGAGCTTACAGAAACACAATTAAGTTATTTTTGAGGTGCCCGAAGAGGGTGGCCACCTGTTTAAAAAGTTAAACTCAAATTATTGAAGCAAATCTTATTATTATAGCTCCGTTATGTTTGCGATAAATATTTAACGCCACGGTACAGGTAGCATATGACGGGTATAGAAAACGAATAGCTGCGTTAAACGCCAATTGGGCGGGAAAAGACTAATGCAAAGACAAGAATATAATCAAAAACAAATATAAAGATAAGATGAAGAATTTCCTCTATTAAGTTTCACTTCTTCCGCGCGTAGGGACTACACGCACCCGGTTTTTTTTGAATATCCTCTCTTTTGGGACTTTTGGATTTTGATAGATTTGTGATTTTAACCTTACAATTTTGTTAGACGCACAGCTGTGCCTGTTCGCATACGCTTTTATGTAGGATGGAGTGTATTTTGCTTGTTGTATATCAGTTGACATATTTATAACAAAGTACTCTACTGGCAGCCATCAGTAGTCACCACTGTCATTTCCATTACGGCTGCCTGTCAATCAGTGATGTATGAAAGAAATTCACAGTCACAAGAATAAGCATGCGAACTTGTTGCTTTTTCATGATATTGCTCACAGTTGCTTGATAGCTATCGCTCAGCATTAGCAGAAGGAAGGAAATTGTGTTTTTAAAGCCGAAAAATGGAGTACCTGGGCGTATTCGTAATTAATCGAAATGCGGTGCATGTATTTTTTTTTAGATCAAATCCCACAAATAAATTTGAATTATGTAAGTAATATTATGAGTATCTTAAAATGTCTGCATATTCTACTAGAAATTTTAAATATTTCTGTTATCAATCGATCATCGGACATAGAAGTGTTTATTGAATTAAAATTCTCCAATAAACAAACTTTGTAGACTGAACGGTAAAATTTACGAAATAAGTAAAATTAAGTCAACAAAAATCATTTCAAACAAAATTCACTTTAAGAATTTTTGCCTGCGGCTGGCTAGTAAGGTGTTAATAAATCAATTTAATTACTTAGCTCAACTATGAAAATAAATAAATCAAAGTAAGTAAATAAATCAAGTATTTGAGCAATTTTAGCATTAAAACGTTTTTTGTTTAAGCGGAAAAGTACCGAACTTACTAATTTTGTCATTGTAACTTGAAAAATCATATTCCTATTTTAATAACTTTGGAAAGTTTCAAATATAATGTTCATATTAGAGGCAAAGGAAATTGGATTCAAATACAAAATATCTGTGAATTTTCAAGAGTATGGCACTAAATGAAAAAGAAAATAACGATGATTTGAGAAACTAAAATTCCATTTTTTACAATTTTTATTGGCTAAGTCGAAATTTATTCTTAAATTGTTGTATACATAAGGCTCGAATCTATACTTTATTTCGCAGTATAATACTTTTTTTTTGGATTCCGAAAATGGATACTGCGGTGTTTTTTCCAAATTAATGCATTTATACATTTGCTGCCAAAATTTTTTAATACACAGTGTTCGCGGGAATACGCTTTAAAAATGCATATATATACTATTATGTAAAAATAGGGGTATAAATCCACATTACAAACTTTCCAAAACAACAAACTTTGTATTCATAATTTTCGGAAAAATTCCAAATATGCGCAAGCTTCAATAACCTAAGAATTGGCGTTGATTTTTAGTTATTTTTTTGCTGACTGTGTTATTATTTTCTTCCATACAAACAAAAA